TAGGGAAGGAAAAAAAATCGACCACAAGACTAACAAATCCAATACTTCCAAGAGCAAGACTAATGTTTCTAGTAACTCCAAGATTGATAAAAAAACAAGTAAAACTTCCGAAGGTCTAGAAGAAAAGCCAGAAAAGGCATTGGGCGCGGCTCTCATCGTCGATTACCGATTGCTATGGGAATATACTGGCATTAATCCGATAACTTTATCAAAAGTGGAGAGAACTTATGGCTTTAGTGGTCGTTGACTTATCAATATTTTTTATAATGTAACTGCTGTTCGGCAATTTTTTCATATATCATTGACATTGGGTTCTGCCCATTAATAAAGAAGGGGACAGTGGACTTCTAATTTTCTTCGTTTTAAAATATTGTATTTTCTCAAAATTATTTAAACCGATTTTTTTATTGTATTATATATTCAAGTTAATCATGACAAATAACACTAATGCACGAAGTATGTTTTCTTCAAAAAATAATAATACTAATCAAAGCGAAAAATTTGCTCCTTTATATAAGAAGAAGCCGATAAAAATGCCAGAGTATATCTTCGAAAGTTTGAGGAATTTCACGGTCCCTTAGAAGATGATCTAGGTGTGCTAATAAAGAAATTCGTTGATAGGGGGGTAAAGAAATTTTGGTTTACTGATGAGGGACTACCATTATTTTCGAATGTCACTCTTCAACAATTCGTCAAAAAATCAACTAGTGACAATCAATGCCCATGTCTAGAATCAAAAGTAAAACAAGAAAAATTATCATACATCACAGCAAATAAAAATTCTTTGTTTAAAATTAGCTAATGATGGAGCTTATTCGCATTTTGCTGATATCGATCTTTGGCTTGTTTCATTAATATGCCACCTGGTCGATATAGCCATTTAATTACTGCATGTTGGATTATTTTAGCGGAATTAATTTGTTTTTTCCACAAACGATATGTCTGCTGGATAATTAATGACGCACGACATTTTTTATATAATGCCAGTTGAACTTTAAAATTCCTATATT